CAAGTGTCGCGGGCGTGCCGGCGCCTATCTCGGCTGTCTTTGGGCAGTAGGCGGGGTACACCTTGAACTGGTTGCCAGCCAATCACAAAGCACATATCGACGGACAACAATCCGCGCTCACACTCACACCTCGGGACAATTTTGAGTGCTCCAATAACCTACCACGCATGTTTTTGGAATGTGGGAGGAAACTGGAGTACACAGAGAAAACCCATGCAGCTGAATTGTGCAGATTCCACACCATTGTACATATTTTGACGACAGTTTGATAAAGCAATAACTTTGCAGAATAACAATGCCATTGAAATATGAGTCATCTGGATGACTGTTAATTTAACAAAATTAAACTCTCCAGTCACAAAGCAACACATGTTATGCCCACATGCTCAAATTCTGTATCATATAACCATTATTTTACTTGAACATTGACTGTCCTGTAAATATGATTCATGTCATCATTTTGTTTCCTGGAAACTATTTTTAATGCACAATTGAAAATCCTTCCACATGTTGTATTGTATTTAAGTCTCCAAAGCCATAACAATAACAGATGTCATTTGAAATGTTAGTAACTCTTGTTAAACTTTAACTACAGCGCGTCCATCCATCTTCGATACAACCTATTCACACTCTGGTTGCAAGTGTGCTGGATCTTATCCCAGTTGACTTTGGCCAAGAAGCAGGGTTCACTATGGACTGGTCACCAGCCAATCACAGACTCCAAAGCCAATTAATGGAATGTCTCCCTCACCTCCTCATATAGCACCCTGTTCTAATCACAAATTTAACTTGAGGTCAGAGAGAATGGGAGAGAGAGAGAGAGAGATTGAGCAAGAGTGTGAGAGTGATCCTTTATGAGTTTACATGGGGCAGGAGGTGTTGGCTGAGTGTTTCTTATGAAAACAGTGAGGAACTTGAAGTCATGGTTCTCTGAGACAAACTCCTGGCAGGCATACTAAAATGAAGCCCAAGTGGAAGGTGCCAAAACCTTTTGACACAATAATGTAATGGAGGAACCATTGAAAGATTGTTCAATGTTTTCACCAAACCATGCTGACTTCAAAAGACCTCAAGCCATAGACATGAACACAAATCCTTCAAAGGTCAGGAGCGAATGTATCCCAATAAAGTATTTGCAGAAGACTTCATGATCAAAAATAAAATCCTCACAATTTGGATTGTTCTGGCAACAATTTGCAGCAAACTACATTGAGGTATATCTCCACACGATATGAGCAACATGTCCATGGTGCATGTTGCAGTAGGAGTTGCCTTTACTGCTTCGATTGCGTATGAACAAAGAGGAATTGCAAATACATTGATGAGAATGTTTTATTTGTTCACCTTAAAGTGCATGGAGACAGCACAAGTGCAGATGTTTAAGTCACCAAAGGCTCTCTCGGGTCCCAAAACATGTCACTCAAAATACAAATCAAACTACCGAATACCAGAAAACGCACACTACTAATTAACAAGAAGAATACAAAGGTCAAACTAGATTTTGTACAAAAGTTGTTGGACAAGCCCCCAAAAAATAGTTTACATTTAATGGAGGGATAAGACAAAGATTAACATTTACCGATGAGAGAGAGAGAGAGAGAGAGAGAATCAAAATATTTGTTCTTGATCCCAAATATATAAGTTCATCTGTCAAACAGTGGAGGTAATAGTATAGCAAGGTAGGCAGTAAAGTGAACTCAGAAGTCATCTTGTGTCTGCCATTTAAAAGAAACATGTAGCCAAGCTGATCGGAAGGCCATTCATCATTTGGCATGGTGTGACCCCAAGCACACTGCCAAAACAACAAAAAAGTTCGGAAGGAGATAGAAGTGGATGACTTAAAGCACATAGAACATGCATTTTACCTGCAAAAGAGGAAAATGAAGGGAGAAAATAAACCACAGCTGAGGATGAGGATGACAAGCCTCACAGAAGATGAGTGAGTCCTCGACTTGATGCCGTCATTAAAGTTATGATTTGCAACTACAGCAAGTCTATCTCTTTGAATGGTTTTGCGAGAAAAACATCTTCGAAGTTGTGTATGAAATCAAGGTGAAAACCTGAAATGATATCCTCATAAACGGTTTTTGATGTCAAACCCAAATGTCTTGAGTCTACTGGGGAACAAAGGTAGGTTACTGTATATACCGTATTTTCCGCACTATAAGCCGCACCTAAGGCGACCATGCACCTTATAATCCGATGCGTCTTATTTATGGTGTTACAGTTTCTTTATATTCCCCATTGAGTTGTTTTCCTGTTAGTGTGTTCCTATGCCATCTAGTGGTGATTATTAGCAGGAACCCATTGGAACGTAAAAGGGTTCTACCCGACACTAGTTAACATGTGCATTTGCCAACACACACTCAAACAGACAACTACTCAGTGAGCTCTGTACATTCATTATGAAGCATAGGTAACTACTGATTAAACGAAGGAAAAAGGAAACACGGAAGACTTCTAAGGATATTTAGCGCCCTGTGAATGTGAGCCCACGAGGTGTGTGTGCCTTTCATTTGTTATTTTGTCATTCCATTTGTATTTATATGTTTCATTTCGGTTCTCCCCGGGCCTGGGTGGGTTTTCTCCGGGTACACCGATTTCCTCCCACATTCCAAAAAACCTCCCTTTCAACATGTAAACTGTGTTAAATGATGACCATTAATGTTTTCTTTTAAATCTTTGTACTTTCAGCTGGGAAGAGTTTGTGGGATTTAAGGTCTCCTTTGCTGATTGCCTCTCCTTTATGTCCTGCAGCTAGCTATGGAGCATACCCCATCTGTAAAGGCTGCTCAGTGTGCTCCAGAGACAACGGCTGTGTAAACTGCCAGCCTAAACTTTTCCTGTTTCTCCGGAGAGAAAGGATGAGACAGTATGGCGAATGTCTTCATGACTGTCCAGCTGGTTACTACGGCATGCGCAGCCCCGAACTCAATATGTGTTCCAGTAAGTGATACTGTCCATTCCTTTTTAGTCCCGCATGCCTTCCCTACAGTTTACCACCACCTCCTCTCCGCACACCATCCCAGTTTCCTCATACACTCCCAGAAAAACAGTCAGTATCTGTGATCACCATTTGCCTCAAACGGTGCAATACATCTCCTTTGCATAGAGATGATCAAGTTGTTGATTTTGGATTGTGAAATGTTGGTTCACTCACCATTCAACGGCTGTACAAAGTTCGTGGACATTGGCAGGAACTGGAACACACAGTCTATTAAACCGATCCAGAGCGTCCCAAACATGATCAATTTGGTTCAGCATCCAGGAATTGCAGACAGATTTTATGCTATCTCTCTCTCTCTCTCTCTCTCTCTCTCTCTCTCTCTCTCTCTCTCTCTC